GCACCGACTCCGCGCCTGCACCGAGTCAGCAGCAGGCTGCGAGCACCCCGTTTGCCATGCAGACACTCAGGTTTTGGAGAGCGGTGGCTTGCGAGGAGGGCAAGCTGCCAACCTGAGGACTCAATGTCTGGGCTCCTGTGAGCGGCCAGCGGGAGAGGCACTCGACTCGGAGCCAGTGTCTGCTCGCGCCCTGGACGTCGCCCCAGCAGCAGCTGGCCACCGCAGGCCGGGCTGGCTCCCTGCCACGCACTGCTACTGCACAGAGGCCCTTTTCAGATCTGAAGATCCGGGCAGCCGCCGCACCACCCAAGCAGCCCCAGTTGGAGCCGACCCGGCCCCTGCAGCACAGGCGGCTGCCATGCCGTAAGGGCGGCCAACGGGGCCCTGGCCACAGCTGCCCTGGGAACGTGCAGCAGGGACTGACCCAGACGGAGACGTACCTCCTGTCACTGACAGATCAGCAAGGCCACAGGAGTGACCCAAGAGTTAACCTTTTCCAGAGAGAATCCATTTGGGATCACATTTCACATGTGAACAGGAAGGGCTAATCTAAAGACCATTTAGAAAATACACCTCAGGGGGCTGACGTGGCACAGCGCGTGCAGCTGTCGCCCGCAGTGCTCACATTCCACAGGCACGCGGCCCCATCCAGCCTCCCGCTTACGGTCCTGGCTCCCATGTGGAGGACCAGACGAAGCTCCTGGCCGTGGCCACTGTGGTCAGCAAGGGAGTGAACCAGAGGATGGAAAATCTGTTTCTCCCTCTGTGTAACTGTGAATTACAAATAAGGGAAGTAGTTTTTAAAATATTTATTTACTTATATTAGAAATGCAGATAAAATTTACAGAAAGCTCTTCTAACTGCTGGTTCACTCCCAAATGGTCTCAGTGTCTAGACCTGAAATGATCCAAAGCCAGGAGCCAGGAGCCTCTTCCAGGTCTCCCACGCGGGTGCAGGGTCCTAAGGCCTTTGGGCCGTCCTCAACTGGTTTCCCAGGCCACAGGCAGGGAGCTGGATGGGAAGTGCAGCTGCCGGGATTAGAACCGGTGCTCATATGGGATCCTGGTGCTTACAAGGTGAGGATTTAGCCACTGAGCCACCGCACCAGGACTAAATAATTTTTTAGAAAAAAAACAGAAAATACATTTTATGATTCTTCCGTCTTTAAGATTATGAGGTTTTGGGGGCCAGTGCTGTGGCATAGTAAGCTAACCCTCAGCCTGGAGCCTAAGAAAAGGTCTATAATCAGCTCCCTAGAGACCTTCCAGGCTCCACGGAGAACCACCTCTTGGCTTCCACAGGATGTCCAGAGCATGGGTTGAGCCCCTGGAGTGGCAGAGGGCACAGCTCCATGAGCACACAGCTCCGCCAGCTCACAGCAGGTCATCCCCAAGTGAGGAGAGGTACAGAACAGCAGAATGTGGACACTGGATGCCTGGGCAGGTAAGGGTGCTGGGCATGGGAATAAAGACCTGGGCCGCAGTGGGTAAAAGGGGCAGGAGGTGCCAGCAAGGGCATCTGAGAGCTTTCTCCGAGCAGGCTTGTAAGGAGAAGTCCAGGGAGGGGACACCCCACCAGGACCCCCGGTCTGCACGGGGTGTGAGCTTCTGGCTTGCCTGTCTTCCAGGAACACCGTCTTCCGTGTGATGGCCCCACGACAGCATCAACACTCAGACACCTGCCGTGGGAAACCCACTGACCATCCCAGAAAACACGCCACATTTTAAAACCACACCTTCCAAATAGTCCAACGCTTTGGCAAAGCGGTCACAGCGTGTGCCAGAGGGAAGTAGACAAGAGGGAGGCAGACACGGCCCTTGCTGGTCACGCACAAATACCTTAAAACGTGCTTCCAATTTAAAAAAAGCAAGCTCACTATATTTCAGATTATTTCCCAAAGGTCTCTGACGTGTGTGCTAGGCCTACCCTTTAAAGGCCCTCCCTCTCCAGGGAGATAACTTTTGTATACAAACCATGGAGAGCCACTTAGACAAAGTGCCGGACGGTTAGAAGGGGTCAGATTCCAGTCTCCACCTTCGAGGAAGCAGAAGCAGATGGCAGCTGCCCGACTGGCCGGCGTGCGCAGGGGAGGCCTGGGTGCCACAGGACCCCCACTGCGCCCCCAGCATTCACCACGGCCCTGCGGCAATGACAGGCGTTTCCAATCCTTAGTCCCTTAACTCAGAACAAAGCCTGAACGCACGTTTGGGGCTTTCCTGGGGCTGCCCTAGCCTCTGCGCAAGGGGATGGTCAGGGAGCAGCTGGCTCAGACAGCGCACGTCAGGACCGAGGGCGCATCGCACACGTCGCCTGCACGCACTGAAGGGGGAACAAGAGAACATCCCGTACACGTGCCACGAGGATAAAAATGCCAACACCTACAGACCTCTACCACCCGAGGAAAAGAAAAGGTTCTTTTTCATCTCAAACTTTTACTGCCAAGCTCACTCCGTGTCAGGGTCCTGGGGACATCACAGATGCTCAGGGTGAGGAAGGCTGCTGGGAAGCGGCCCTGGGCGGGGGGGCCTGGCGGGAGCCCCGGGAGGAGCACCTGCCTGTTCCCGTGAGATCTCAGCTACATCACCTCTCTCCTCCACACAGCTGGTTGTGTATGGTGGATACAGTGTAATGCAGAAATCCCAGACAGTGCAGTGCGCAGGCCAACAGGAAGTGACTGAGAACCAAGCTCACAAAACAAGCCCCCTAGGTAACCAACAACGCTCCTGACAAACCACTTCTCTATGTATGTACGTATCATCTCCACAAATTCTTCTGAGATCCTGACAGACTTCTACAACCAGCCTTCTTCCTGGAGTTATGGTGGTCATGTAAACGTGATAAAGTGTCTACCCAGTTATACTCCTCTACACACTGCAGGGTACAGTTCACACAGACACCCCAAACTAGCAAATGTACAACAATCAATACAGAAGCCACATCACCGCCAAGCTCAATTAAACCGTAACTGATTGCCACTCCTTTAACATGGGCCTCGGGTCACTTTAAAACCACCTGCAGTGACAGAAAGTGACCACCAGGTGGAGCTACAAGACTCAAGCTTCATGGTTCTAGGACATTTGCCCTGATTCTTACAAAACTTAACTGCTTTTCAAAATTACTAATTTTTAAATTTCTTTCAAAGCAAAGAAGATAAAGAAAATGCAATCGTTTAAAAAAGACAATTAGCTCACTCAAGAAAAACCAGACCAGTTCATTAGAAACAGACTGAATATGGAATTAAATCAGGCTGAACCTAAAATCTCCAGGACTCAAGATGCAGGTCTAAGCCGAGAGGCTGCCAATACCTTTGCGGTCTCCCCAGGTTTGTCTTCTTTACCTGAGAGAGAAGGGTCAACTCTTACTACTTTCTAAGTTGGATAGGATTAGACACAACCACCAACTTGACCTGTGGATATTTCTAACTGCTCAGGTCACCAGCTCCAGCACTAAGATGTTACCATCAGACACAGGAGCCTACAGGAAGGGCAGGGCCCCTGCAGCCACAGACCACTCACCTCTAAGACGCTGCCCTGCACTCATAAGGCAGGCAGACCCTTGTCACAGACCCCAGTACAGCCAGGGACCTGCCTGAGGCCACGTCCCAGCTCAAGTGCAGGAGGAGCCTAAGGTGTCAGCATGGGTGGGACAGGATCAGACCTGACTGTGAGACCCTCCTCGCCCATCACGCATTCCGTGAGTCAGGGATAAGGCCCACGGGGGTCACCAGGACACAGGGCTCTGCCCCATTCCTCATCCCCACCCCCTCCCTGAGGTGTGCCAGGGGACCAGACCCCAGGCACAGCCCCACCCGCCTCTGCTCTGCCAGTCACTAACCCCTCATTCCAAGTTGCCAAGCCCGTGAGGTGATGCCGGGGGGCGGCAGGTCCAGACACCACACTCTGAAGCACCAGTGGGACGGATTTAATTCCAAGCAACAAGCCACCAGAGCACCGGGCCTGTGGTCTGTTACACAGCTGGGAGCAGAGGACTCCCCAGCTCATCCTGAACAGAGTTCCCCGTATATCTAACAACTGCGCTGAACTTCACCCAGGAATGCAGCGTTCCCGACACCTGGAGAAACTTCCACACGTCAGGCCACTTCCCACCCTGGGCTTGTGCACCTGTCACTACACACTGAGTCAATCCTAGAAACAGAATTTTGCCAGGTTGAAAGGAAGAGTCACAACTCTGGGGGATGAGTTCCACCCACATTAAACTCCCCCGGCAACGGACCGAGGGCCTGTTTCAGCACCTCTTACCCACCGCTAGCTGAGGTGTTACCAAACTGACCAACTGCTCTCCTATGCCAGCGTGGCACGAACTCTCGATTCACTTGGGTAGTTTCATCTCTTGAGGCACACAGGCTCATGCCACACTGCCCTGCAGGAAGTGAGATCAACCCAGATCCGCAGGGACACTCGGGCTTTGGGTCCCGGTGGTCAGGGCAGACCCCTGGCGGGCAGGCTCAAGCGCAGCTGCCAGTGACTGACGGGCAGGCCTTCCGCTGGGGGAGAGCAAGCCAGCGGGCACAGCACTGGGCCGGGAGCTTTAGCTTCCACGCTGGCACGAGTTAAGTGGAACAAGGATATCAGCCTGAACCCAACTTTCTCTCCTTACAAAACTCTAAGTTCATAAGAATTCTCTTGATCAAGACAACTGTGCTGGGCAAGACACAGGGGAGCCACAGGTGCCCAGCTGGAGCTACGGCTCTCATCGGTGGAAAATGGCTTAGGAGAGATCCATTATTTAAAGATCAAGGGAAAATGTATAAAGAACGCACTCCCCCTCCCCATGAAAATGTGTAATTACATTGCACGCCTACTGGCACTTCTTACAGCGAAGCAGCACTTGTACCAAACGGCAAACTTGCACTCGAGACAGATCACCTCTCTGGAGTTCCTGCAACGCGGAGCGAGAGAGGCGGCCCTCACCTCGGTGTGCAAGGACAGGCTACGCAGAAGGCAGTGACGCTTTACACGAACAGCGCTGCAGATACTTACTGCTGGTTCAACTTGACTTCGATCTGCAATATCTATGTGGACAATTTCAACCGTTTTCCATGTGTTTGGATCTAAACCATGTACCTATAAATGACAAAGCAAAATAAAACTAACTGCAGATTATTCTTACGGGTTTTACGGCCATGTGTACACACACACACACACACACACACACACACACACACACACACACACATGTACTTGTAAAAGCTCATGGAATGATGTAATTGAAAGGAAGTATCACTCAGGAGCAGGATTTACAGAGAGGAGGGACAGAAAAGATCTTCTGTCCAATGTCTCACTATCCAACCAACCAAAGCTGAGCCGACGTGAAGCCAGCAGACAGGAGCTTCTTACGTGTCTCCCATGCAGGTACAGGGCGTCAAGGCTTTGGGCCATCCTGCACTGCTTTCCCAGGCCACGAGCAGGGAGCTGGATGGGAAGCAGAGCAGCTGGGACACGCACCAGCGGATCCCTGCACTTGCAAAGTGAGTATTTAGCTTTGAATCTTTGTCCTAGGCTGTCCCATAAACTGTCTGATGACCTCTCATGTAATCTTGGGGGTTTCTCAGCACAATACGGAGAATTTAAAAATCCAAATTACTGCAGCCAGCATGGCGGCTCAACAGGCTAATAATCTACCTGTCAGTGCTGGCACCCCACATGGCTGATGGTTCATGTCCCAGTTCCTCTGCTTCCGATCTAGGCCTCTGCTGTTGGCCCAGGAAAGAAGATGGACCCAAGACTTTTGGGTCCCTACAGCCACACAAGAAACCTGGAAAAAGTTCCAGGCTCGTGACTTCAGATCAGTCCAACTGTGCCCATTGAGGCCATCCAGAGAGTGAAACAGCAGATGGAAGATCTCTCTCAGAGGTCTTTCTGTAAATTTACCTTTCAAATAAAAATAAAAACAATTTTAAAAAATCCAAAGTATAGCTTCAATTGCTAGGTGTCTGAAATCTTATGCTTAGGAATCCTTTATTATTCCTTGTAATTTGAAACAATGTGTGTGTGCATGTGTGCCAAATTTGTTGTAAAATGCCTGTATTTTTGTAAGTTCTCACAGATGATTTGTATAAACAAAATGGGCATGACCTATGTTTAACGCAAATGATACATGAGGTTCTCGTAACCCCGAAGTTGTATAAACCCTAAGACAACACAGATTAAGAACTGCACTCTATGGTTGAAAACGCCTCCTGAGTCCAATTATCCCAAAGCTATTCAATTTCAGTGTGATGTCAACTCCTCTACCCTTCATGTTATTCAATCATTTATTTCTGAAATTCTGTCTATGAACTAATTAAGGCTTGTTTAAAAACTGCCAGAAGACACATCCATCTGAAAGCTGAAAATAGCAGATTAAATCGTATCAGATCATGTCATTTAGACTCTAAACTTCAGCCACTATGAAAAAACAACGTGACATGTCAAATGATCACTTGACAGGAAACTGAATACTAAATTAAAATTCCAAAATTCTGCTCTTTGACACCAATAATGTAATGACACGGTAATAGAAGATTAAGAATGGACGTGACCACCATCATTAATTTATTCCTCCTGTAACAGCAACATTGCACAACTGGAAGGGCAGCCGGCAAATGGCAGGACGCAGCAGCAAACAGGGCTGCTGGGCCCAGGTGCCTGACCCTGCAGCTCCGTGGCGTCTGCTTCTGCAGCAAGTCAGCAGGTGCTGCCGCCTTTGCTCCAGGGGTCCCACCCCTGAGAACTACGGCTCAAGAGGGGAAAAAAATGCCAGATGCCCCCAGGCCTTCCCTTCCGTCTGAACCAATGCTCCTCGGGAACAACACGCAGCCGCCCACAAGCAGCCAAGCAAGGAGCCGGTGGCATCTGTGAGTTACAGGTTACAGCAGGTCCTTCCTCCTGCACACCTCTGTGCCATATTCCAGAAAAAAAAAAATAAAACAACACAGCAATTCTACCAGGGTGCATCTGAGCGTCGAGGGGCTCCTGGCCTCGGCTCCCCAGCTGCCCGCTCATTCTGCTGAAGACACAGTGGGCTGCAGACGGCAATCCTGTGTCCAGGGCTGCCTGCATCAAAAGTGCCGTTCAAACTTACATTTTCTAATGTTCCCAAGTCTGGTTTGTGCCACGTTTCAATTTTAATGAAGAAATCATCTTTCATATATTCATTCTGCAGAAAACACAACAGGATGACAGTCAGCTTTCGGGTCTTTGCAGCTCATGCCTGTGAAAGCCTTCCCAGCACTTGCGCGTGCACACACCAACACACACACGTGCCCTGAGCACAGACACGCTTGGCAGGTACAGACACTGCAGGCCTTTACATCACCTAAGCAACCTGCACGCGCCGTGCAGCACGCAGGGCTAGCCAAGAGGCTATGAGGTGGGTGAGCAACTCTGACGTTCAAAGAAGTTGCAGATCAAAATGAAATCACTAAGGCGAGTCTGAGAGCGTACTGGCGATCGCCCATTCACACGGCCGGGTGTGGGAGGGTGTGTGGGCTGCTTGGTGGACAGGCGGAGGGGGTCACACTGGGCAGCGTAGCTTCAGTTACAAAAACAAACACACATAAAAAAACTGCAATGTAAAAGTTTAAACAGCAAGAGTACGTGGCATAGAGTTTTACTCACCGTTACGACTGAAGCACAGCACAGCGAACAGGCAAGCAATAAAAGGAAAAAGTTCAACATATTAATTACAGTCAGAGAAATACGTGCCAATATTTAAGGTCACAAGGACTAAATTTTCTGAAAACACAGAACAGTTAGAAGCTATATCTGCATACCAGTTTTCTCACACAGTACAAATAAAAACTGAAGAACTTTTCAATAATGCAAACAGTGTCACACAGCAAACCATTTACTCCCACGGTTCATTCAGCCAAGGGCAGGACATTATTTCAACAGCCAGTCACATTACACGGCTGTGAGAATGAATAAAACACACTGAAAGACCCCTCGGAGTGTGGGCACCCTTCTTGAAGGTTACCGTACTGGGCGCTGGCACCCTACATGGGCACTGGTTGGAGTTTTAGCTGCCCCACTTCCGATCCACTCCCTGCTAATGTGTCTCGGAGAGCAGTGGAAAAGGGCCCCAAATCCACGGGAGACTCTGAGGAAGCTGCTGGCTTTGGACGGACACAGTTCTGTGGGCATTCAGGGAATGAACCAGCAGATGGAAGGATCTAACTCTGCTTTTCAAATGAAAAAATAAGTATTACAAAACAAAACAAAAAAACATCCCTGCAGTCCCCTGCTCACCCCCTAGAGTGTGGCCATCGGGGACAGGGAAGCCAGCTGGCAGTACCCAATGCAGCCCACCCCCTGCCATCGCACACACAGTGAGAGAATCTGCGCAAGGCCCTCCACAGGACCTCGGCTTGGGCAGCGCAGGCCTCCCGCACACGGCCCGGGGAGCAGTGGTCACAGGGCCCCAGGCTTACTTGTTCTACAGTAGGGGTAGGCGTTCCAGGCTTTTTCGTGAAACACCAAGGAACCCTCAGGAGCAATCATCCTCACGAAGGCAGGAACTTTGCTGCAAGAGGAACAGGATTTATTTTCACATGCATCACCAATTCTTCCTAAGTATTCTGAAAACTGCCCTGAGCCTGACGGCTATTACTCAAGGCTATCATCAACGCTGTACTCTAATCCCACAGGAACCAAGAAGAGAACGTAGGTGAAAACCACACACTGACTCAATATCTCTACTGTGGAGAGAAGCTCTGATGTTTATCAGAAACAACCCCCTTTCTGAGGAGCTTCTGCTCTATCCCGACACGCAATCCAAGGAGTGCTGACAGCGCCCGACTCGCACTCACACACAACATGGGCATCCTGAGCGCAGCGAGGACTGTGTCCTCTAGTTCTCCAGAAAAGCTTAAAACACATTACAGAAGGGACTAATGAATGCTCAAAATGCAAAACACACACGAGAAAAGGAGAAACTGAAGTATACGCAAGTCTAAACTGTTGTAGGCTTCAGATGACTGCCCACCCTGGCTCGAGGACGCACACCGGGAAACCTGGAGCGAACTCAGCAACCACCTGCACAGACGGTGGGCACAGGGCACCCACAGACAGCTCTCAAACAGGAACCACTGCTAAGTGACAGACTAGTGGAGGATGAGCCTTCAAAGAACGCAATGGTGTGACCAGCTTTACTGTACAGAGCCTAGTGTCTACAGGCCCAGGGGTTTGTGTGCACTGGACTCAAATCCCAACATCAGCACTTGGAAGCTGCACGACGCTGGGCACTCTAGTGGGCAGATCTGGACTTGCCCTAATCTGCAGGCTCACACAGGACTGAGCCAGGCCCAGCGACGTGCCCAGCACACTGCATACTACAGTGAGCGCTCAGCCAAACGGGAGCTGCTGTTTATCAATCACAATTAGCAACATGGGGGTAGGCCTTCACAAACAACACCAAAAGGACATTTCTCCGACTCTCCCCAGCTGCTCACGGCATGATGGTTTCACAGTGGGCCCTGCGTGTCGTGGAATGGTGGTCTCTCGCAATAGGTCCCTACATACCGCAGCCCTGACTTAGAGGTGTTGGGCTCACAGGAACACCAACCTACCTCAGGGCAAACTTCAACCAAAGGGTGTTATTATTCAACTGAGGTCGGAGAAGAAAACAGAGCGGGAAGTTTACAATCCCGATGGCTGTGAACACAGTCCTTCAAGGGAAGAGAACTTTGTTACCTTTGGAATAAAGGAAGCAAAGGCTCCCTGCATGGTTTCAAGGACAGATAATAAGCGATCATACCAGTGCACACTGAATTCTGATCCAGTAGCACACTTTAAGATAGACAGGATTTACTGATTTAGACAGGGAGAGACAGGTCTTCGACCCAGGGCTTCATGACCCAATTGGCTGCACTGGCCAGGTCTGCGCCAGGCTGAAGCGAGGCGTCTGGAATGACACTTGACTCCCCTAGACACTCGATGCTGGTTGGCTGCCTTCCCAGCCACGCCAGCAGGGAGCTGGGAGGGAAGAGGACCCGAGACTGGAAGCAGCCTTGGATGTGGTACAACAAAGGCCAGCGTACCCTGTGCGGGCACACACGTGTCCCCGAAGGTATTCTCGACAGGGAATCATACACCCTTTATTATCAACTGGGAGTGGACAGGAGTGATGGTGGCAAAGTAGTTTAAAACAAAGAACTAAAATCTAAGAACCAAAAGATTCTTAGAAGGGAAAAAGATCTCTGGAATCTTGAACTGGGCAATGATTTCTTAGCTATGACCTTCAAGTTATAAACCAAAGGAGAAACAGTCAAACTGAACTTCATCTAAATTAAAAGTTTCAAAAGACACTATGAAGAAAGTGAAGGCGATTCACAGAAGGGGGAGGAAAAACTTGCAAGCCATCTGACGGCTGATAAGGCACTAGTATCAGAGAGACATTTAAAAACCCTCCTATAACTCAACAGTGAAGACAATTCAATTAAAAAATAGATTAAAGATCTGAATAGATACGTCTACAAAGATATAGTAACGGGCCAAAATGGATACAGAAACATGCTCAGTATCATTACCATACGGAAAATGAAAATTAAAATCACCGCGAAACACCATTTCACACACAGTAGGATCTCCGTAATAAAGATAAAATGTGTTGGCGAGGATGTGGAGACACTGCAGTCTTCATGTGGGGGGCCAGCGAGGCTTCAGCCACTCTGTGAAAGTCTGGGAAGTTCGTCCTGAAGAGCTCTCCTGTGGCCCAGCCCTTCCACGTACAGTGCACGTGCACCCAGGCGAACTGGACACACCTCAGGCCAAAGCAGAAACAACTCGGAGGGACGGCTGAGCCAAGGCAACAGCCCGCGGCATATCCGTGCCACCTGGGTGGTTCCACAGTAAAGATGAAGCAGTGCTGATCAGGATGGCAACATGGATGAACCTAAGTCACCACGAGTGTCAAGGCTCTTCCGTGTCCATAGAAAACGGAAGTGATAATTGAGCGCGTTCTGACAGAAAACATTGTACAATCCACGTGTAAGTTTTCACAACGTGGTGCTTTCCATGCACTGTTTGAAGACCTCTCCATGTGATTCCATTTTCTATAAGATGTCCAAAAATAAGCACATCTTTAGAGACAGGAAGTTAATCAGAGGTTGCCAGGAACTGCGGGGACGGACAAGAGGAAGGAAATGCTTGGGGTATCAGGAATGCCCACGGCAGGTGCTGGAAGACGCCCTGTGCTACGCCACCCTGGCCTGAGTGTCTGGGCTTGGGCCCTGCCTCTCGCCAGCAGGCATCCCAGGCATCCAGGGGACACAGGGCTGACTCAAGGCCTCTCCACCGACTGGAGGAAGCCATCGGAGTTCTGAACTCCAGGCTTCGGCCTGGTCCAAAAAGTCCAGCTAGCTTGTAGGGCGCGAGCCAGCATGATGATAGTACTTCTCTATCTGCCTTTCAAATAAAATGAAAAACAGAAAGGAAAAAGTTCACTGTTGTGAGGTAATAGTCGTGTAACTGTGTAAATCCAGTAAAAAAAAAAATTGTGTATTTAAAAAGGATTTTATCCTGAATTTGTTAGGTATCAGGAAGAGCTGGACAGAGCTACTGAAGGTCACCGAGTAGCATGGCAGGGATGCAGATGCACAAAAGGAGAAAGAGGACACAACACTGATTCCAGGGCCCCGAGCGACGTCCCAGCAGCTAATGTCCTCACTTGCACGCACCGGGATCCCAGATGAACACCGGTTCTAATCCCAGCAGCCCCACTTCCCAGCCAGCTCCCTGCTTGTGGCCTGGGAAAGCAGTCAGGGACAGCCAAAAGCCTTGGGACCCTGCTCCCGCGTGGGAGATCTGGAAGATCAGCCCAGCTTTGGTCACTGCAGCTACTTGAGGAATCAATCAATGGATGGAATATCTGACTTTCCAATAAAAGTAAGTAAATATTAAAAAAGAGAAAGAAATGTGCTAGCAGCAAGTGCAATACATGAATCCATTTTAGGTGGTCAGAAAAAAAAAAAAAAAGCTGAGTGCCATAATGGGATACCAACTGACCAGCTTCTGGGAGATCTCAGACTGTGAAGTATTGAACACTACAAAACAGAGAACATGTTCACTCAGGAAAGGAGCAGTAATAAAACATGAGACATAAAGAGGACATGACGACGGCCTGGGGTAGGATCACCCCCGATTCAGAGAGCTCTGCACAAAACACAAGACTGAACCACGACGAGGACAGAGCGACATCTTCTAAGTGTTTAATTTTGACTCAAGAGTTAGGACTGTGTTTACCTACTAGTTAGCAGGGCTAACTTCTTACTTGTCTAAGATGCTCTGAGATCAAGCATGTACGAATAATTTTTGCATTTTCAGGTGATGTAAACAACTTAAATTTCTGGCAAATGACTGTTTTTCTTGCTCAAGTGAACTCACTCCTTATCCAATAAAGATGTAAAAGGATAGTATGTCCCCGTGGCAAAGCTGATGATCTGCTGGGTCCCCCAAGGGGGCGCTCTCTCAGGGGCACTTGGTGGAGAACTGGATCACAGTGCAGCAGTCAGGACTCGAACTGGCATCCACTAGGGAAGCAGGTGCTGCAGGCTACACCAGAATGCCAACCAGAAAACAGATGGGATTTCAATAAACTCCCTGCTGTTTCAATCTTAGGAAATGAAGTTGTCCTGCAGTTGGCAAAGCTCTACAAGCTCTCCATCACCCCGACTGACTGAGGCTGGTGAAGGTCCAGTGTTACAATACAGAATACAGCCGTGACGCCCCAAGGGCAGGCGAGTGGAGAGCAGCCCCAAGGGCATTGGAGGCAGGCTCTCAGCGGAGCCCAGGTCTTTCTCAGAAACAAGGCGGAAATTCTTTGCGTGGCAAGTGCCTTCCTCCCACATTGCCACTCTCTACCAATCAGGCACAGGACACACACACAGGTGTGCAGAGCAGTGGGGAGTCTAGTGCAGAGGAACCAATGGGATCTAATGGAGCCAAGGACCACGTCTTCCCAGACAGACAGACAGGAGACGTTCACACCCCAAAAAATGGGTAGGCGGAGCTGAGCAGAGCTCCCAGGGCACTGAACAGCAGGGGCTTGCTGCCGGCCACAGGTTCCCACTAATGTCCTAATCCCCGATGGAACGACAGACGGGAATTCGCGGATAATCCTGAGTAGCTTTATTTTGAAAGGAGACTTAAAAGAACTGTGAAAAAATAAGATACAGCGAAACACAACATCTGGGAAGAAAGTTTCTGACTTCCTGTGGAGTTGTCTTCAAGAGATGGAAAATATTCTGTGTCTCCTACAGCACTCGGTAAAAGCGGAGCAAAGAGGTGGACAGGGCAGGCTCTGGGCTTGGGCAGAATGCCTTCTCCAGCCAGCAGCAGCCCTGTTTTCCTTATACAAAGCTGCTGCGGGCGTGCACACGCATCCACCCCCAGCTCTCACAGGAACCCAGTAAGCAGCCAGAGTCTGAACACACGCGCTGCAGTGTAATGCTACACAGGAGCCAGGAGCTCCTCACTGCTTTCCAAGATTTCTTAGCTGACATCTACGGAACTCAGACACTAGAATGTCACCTGCAATGAGTCACCGGCTTTTGATGAGTTCTCAGCCGTCTGACTGAGGCTAAGCACATACAGCTTGCCAAGAAATATTCGGATAAAACGGGAAGCACACTGGCTACGGAATTCCAGTACTTCAGTTCCACTGGCTGACACCTAGCTCAGCGTCCCAAGCATCTCAGATGTAAAGTAACACGTGGCTGGCCTGAGTGCCAGGCCTATGCTCTCAGTGTTGGCATGCGGTGGCAGTGTGCACAGCCTCACTAAGACAGCAGCACTGCAAAAGCAAACACAGGGCAGCAGCCAGGCCGCGCCCCCGGGCTCTAACACTTTTGGTTTCAGCAAGGTGAGTTGGCACCACTGAGGAAAAGGCTGCAACGTATTAAAAAAAAAAAAGGGGGGAAATGACTCAGAATCCTTCCACTCTTCTGGATTTTCCTTTTTATGAGAAAGGAAAACTGTTCAACACCATTTCTGAGCCATTGTAGGTCCCACCTCCCTGTAGGGGGATCAGCTCCTTGTGCTGGGTAGTGATTCACCCGGCACACACTGCCACGTGTGTCCTTCTAAGATTAGGCTGTCCTGCAGAGGTCAGGGCTGTGGCCCTTGAGGCCTGAAGCCCATACGGGTGCTGCTTCCTGTCTGTCCGGCCCCGTTAACGTGTCAGGGCAAGCAGCAGACGATACCCGGAGGGCCTGGGTCCTGGTCATCCACAGGGCAGATCCATGGCTCTTGTTCTGCACAGGCTGAGACATTTGGGGAGTGACCAGCAGGTGGAAGATTTCTCCCGTGATCTCCCCATTCCCTGTAATCCTGCCTTTCAACTAAACAAATATAGACTGTACCACCCTAAATGCCATTTTTTTCTGTCTAGGGACATTTTTTTTATTTTTGGATATTGAACCATCTATCACATCCTGTCTGAGAAGTGTTAGTTCCAGCGCTTCTGAGAATACCAAAATTCAAAGTTGAACTTCCTTACCTGGAATAGCATGGAAACCACACACACGTTCCCATACACTTTGAGTCATCTCTAGAAAACTCAGAATTCCAAGACAGTGTAAGCGCTGTCAGCACTGACACTACACCTGACTGCTGAGGGGAGACGGCAGGACAGGCTCTGCACGCGTCCCTGACACACGCACCTGCTACCCTCCAACAACTTCATCTGAGTGCCAGAGATACGGAGGGCTGACTGTCCAAGTGCTGACAAACGACAAGATATCTGACAGGATAGTTACTGTCGTGTTTTTCAAGTCAAATCTATAACAGAAGGAAAAACTCAAAAAGCTGTGTTCTGAAAGCCAATAAAAATCCGAGTTCTACAAGATGACGACTTAATATTTCATTGTTACGTTACTCTAAACCAGGCAGTAAAGCTTATCTGATAAAATGTGAATTCTAAAGCAGTATGATTAATTTCAATATGAATTGAATAAAGGAAACAGAAAGATGAAAGATTTCCTCTTATTTTAATTTGGGGAGACTCTTGATGTAATGAAATCTTAGGGGCACCGACAGCTGCCATGGGCACCAACGCCTGCCTCCACTTGCCATCCAGCGTCCTGCCAAGGAACCACCAGTGGACAGAACTTTCCCCTCTGTCACTCTTTCAGATAAATAACCTTGAAATCAAGCAAGCAAGCAAGCTATTACTGGTTTTCGGCCTTAGATAACTACTGGCATACATACTCTACTTTAAAATATTGAAGGCAAAAATAGAGATTAGGCTGTTAAAGTTAGGAGAATGTACAAAAGAACTCTGATAACCCAGTGGGAAGGAGGAGGGCAAGAATGAACAAAGAACTGGAACACTCATCCAGAAGGAATTCAAGTGATCAATTAACGTGAAAAGACATCCGACCCCACAAAGAGAGAGGGGGAAAACAAATACTATCGGACTTCTGGGGGACAGTTCAGCAGTAACTGCAAATTTCACCAGGAGCCCGTCCTCCCAGCGCCCCTTCCCTCCCCCCTTTCGAAACGGCTCCCTGGGCCAGCAAAGCCACCTCTGTGTTCAGAGAGACACGTGTAATGGACAAGCATCGGAATCCCTCAGAAAGACTTCTCATCCCGGCGATGGGCACACGAACTACACTGTGGAGTGCCGAGACGTTTCACCCACTGCGAAAGGAGGCTAGTGATGCAGCGTCGCATGAAAAACTGCAGATCCAGATGTGCAACAGGAGCCCAGCCACACGCAGAACACACACACACAGCACCAGCACTACACCTGGGACTGTCTTTGTTTTAAATTTCTTTGAATACATACAGAAAATCGTCTGGAAGTCTTGAGTCGTTCTCAGTGGCTACAGGTACTGGATGGCAAGCGGAGGGGGAGACTGAGTTTTCATTTCAGTCTTTGTTGTTCTGAATTTCTGTTGTAAGCTGACATACTACTTCTAAAATGGTTAAGTAATTAATACTTAAAGGAGCTCTCTCAAAAGTTACCAGCTGGGAGAGTTGCCCGCTTCCTAAGCAAGCTGGGGAGTTAGACCCTATTTATTATAATGACCACACACCCAGTGTGAACACCCCACTTACCTCTTCAGGTGGTAAATTTTGTGGGTGTACTGTCCCTTTTCACCATCTTTCTCGTACGGTTCATTCTTTAACACTTCAATTCCTTCGCCGCCGCCAGTCTCATTCTTGCTAGCTTCTGCCACAGAGTAAAGCTGTCCGACCTGATACTGAAATAGCAAAAGCACACAAGCTCAGCAAGTGGGCAGCGACTGCAGGATCCTCCTGCGCCCGCCAAGTCTTCAAAAAGCTTTGTTACAAATATCGCAGTGCTTGAAAATATATATACTGTTCATTTTTCAAGAAATGTCTTGATGCTTGGTCTTTCTTTTTTATTGCAAAGTCAGATATACAGAGAGGAGGATCTTCTGTCTGATGGATCACTCCCCAAGTGACCGCAATGGCCAGAGCTGCACCGATCCAAAGCCAGGAACTTCCTCCAGGTCTGCCACGCGGGTGCAGGGTCCCAAAGCCTTGGACTGTCCTCGACTGCCTTCCCAGGCCACAAGCAGGGAGCTGGATGGAAGTGGAGCTGCTGGGATTAGAACTGGTGCCCATATGGGATTCCAGTGCATTCAAGGCAAGGACTTTAGCCGCTAGGCCTTTGCACCAGGCCCCTAGTCTGACTTTCAAAAAACCATTTTCACATTTACTGTATTTCATTTAATTCCATTCAATTCGGAGGAAGGTATGGCAGGAATATAACTGTCATTTTGTCAACTGAGGCTGAACGATCAGATTGCTGCATTTAATAAGAAAGAGGAGCAGTCCAGAGGGTAGTAACAAAGAATTCCATGACCAGCAATCACAGCCAGCTGCGGCTTAGGCAGCTGCAGGGTTCTCGGCCCCTGGCCTGAGTGTGATGTGCCCGATTCGGAGCTTAACCCAATCGGAAGCCGAACTTAGAGCTTCGAGCCCTAACTAGTAAGAGGTCCTTCAGCAGACAGAAACTGCTTCTAAGGGATTAGGAACACACAAGAGAATTTCGAAAATTCTATCAGAATACGGAATTCAAAGTTTACGGAAAACATTTGTAACTCACTGGTTTTTCTTTTTAATAAAATTAACTTTCCATGATATTTTCCAAGGCTTGTTACAGGCATGGATTTTAAAATTTTTTTATACCAAAACAAACTTAGCTTTCAGTTTCACTTTCCAGGAACTTTGGAAGTATCTTCACATAAGCACAACCAAAAAAGGCAAGACACAGCCAGCTGGAGTTCCTAGTCCATTTAAAGGGAGCCGTAACTCTCGGTGGTCTGCAGCGACACCTGGCATGCAGCTGCTAACCGCTGCAACAAGCGAGCAAGGCTTACTCTGTTCTAGCTTTTCCCAGAGCCAAGCCACGGCACTATCTCTGACCTCACAGCATCTGGCCAGACTTCCTTCTCCCCATGAATACAGGACGAAACACATTTTTCTTCTTTATAAACATGTTTCAAAATAATAATATTACTATTATAATAACAGTAATTAAATCTACCTTCCGAAGAGCCTGTAACCCCAAAGTGCTGACTGAGAAAAAAAATAAATACAGGTCACTACGGTTACAGATTCATTTCTTGAAAGCTCCCCAGGGAGCCGGTGGAGTGACTAACCCTGGACCTGCTAGCACTGCCATCCCGCGCAGGTTCACGTCCCACCTGCTCCACTCTCAATCCAGCTGGGGAAGCCATGGAGCAGGCCCATGTCTGGGTCCCATGCACCCATGAGAAAAGGTTCCTGGCTCCCAGCTTCGGATTAGCTAAGCTCCCAGTCACTGTGGCCATGTGGGGAGGGAATCTGTGGATGCGAGGCCTGTATGTCTCTCCTTCCTCTGTCTGTAAAAATCTTACTCAATTTGGAACTGTTGTGGCAGCCGGCAGCAAGCATGTTTCATACGTGCTCCCAAAATAGGTGTCTGTGGGGACTGCTGCCTGCACAGAGGGCTCGACTTCCCTTGGCTTCCCATGATGTAACAGTCTCTTCAAGTCCTTCAGAAAGTACTTTGCCAATTCTCTCATTTTTCACAATTTAAAGTGTCTCTAAATCAAAAGGTAGCTTTGCCTTTGTCAGAATTACAGAGTAACAGAAATAACCAGACCACAGGAAAAAAAAAAGTTAATAATGAACTAATATTTTTGTGATAGGCTACCAGGCTTTCCTCAGCTTCTGTACAGACCCGCTTACAGAGAACAGGCGCGCTTATTAATCTAAACACGAGAGAAAGCTGACATTATCTGCGGGGACCATATCAAGACTCACAGAGATTGCAACGCTCAAAAAAAAAAAAAAAAAAAACCAGAAGAGAAAAATCTGACTGAAACAAATGTCAAATTCCACATTCAAGTTCAAACAATCCATTGCACAAGGAAGGAGCTGTGTTGGCTGGCTCCCCTCCAGGCTTTGAACAGTGACATCCCGGGCACGGCTCGCCCAGAGCTGCTTTCCTGCCTTTTTTTTTTTTTTTTTGTCTTCTTTCTGTCAGCTGTCACTTTGGAGGTTACCAGTTTGTTTTGTCGCACTTCCAAAGCACTGCTTCTTGTCTAGTGTCAGCTCCGGGAGAGCCAGCAAGCTGAGCGAAGGGGACTGTTTTCAAGCTCCTGAGGGGTCTGCACAGTTTCACAGATGTTGCTACATGTATCCTGATTCCTCAGAAGGCCTTTCTGCTTTCATTCTTAACTGTACTACTGACAGCTTCCGCTGCAGGAAGCTCGCCCTGAGCGGCCGCTGTGTGTCTTCATCCTGTGCAGATCCAGACACCAGCCTCTCCTGGCTAGGTGCTGGCCTGTCCACGGCTGGGGCACAGGCAATGACCACACACACAGTCATGAGACCAGCTGTTGGAGAAGTCTAGAGGTCATGTTATATTAGGCTAAATAGATGAACGTGCTGGGCATGTTTAACCTTCTGCCCTTTTCAGATGGCATGCAGGGGCCAGGGCAAGGGAGGGTTCCGGGGAGCACGAGCCTCAGGACAGCTGAAGGCGTCCTGCACCCAACACGGCGGGGTCATCTCCTCGGGCTCGAGCAGGATGAACCTCTAAGAGTTCATGACTACAGGGGACAGGAGTGCTTCAAAGTCACGACAGAAGTCTCCCGTGTCCAACACTTCCCTTCTCCAAGCAGCAAGCTACTGAAACATGCAAGAGCAGAAGTGGAGGATGGAGCCTCACTGACCCGAGCTGCAGAAAGAAGTGCTGGACTGCACCAGAGTTTAAACTCCAGTGTCCATTTTTGTTTTCAAAAGCAAAGAGACATACAGACATAGGTCCTCTCCAGGGCCGCTCCCCGGATGCCAGCAGCAGCTGGGCCACGGCAGGGTGCAGTCAGGAGTCAGGAGCTCCAGCTGGGTCCTGACAGGGCTGATAGGCACTCAACTAGAGATACCCTGACAGTTGGGAGCCAGGACTCAAACCCAGGCACACGTCCATGGGCCTTGGGTGTCCTCTGTGGCACCCTAGCCGCAGGGCTAACTGCCTGCCTCCTGAACACCCACATTCTTCTGTCTCTTCTAAATAGGACAGTGTAGTAGAAATCCATTGTCAGCTGATCACCTGCAACTTGCACCAATTAATTTCGTCACACAAACTGGAATAAAAACATAGACGATTACAGAACTGTGGCGATAACACGACAAAGTGAATGATACGAGAACATAAAGCATAAACACTTGAGACCTACCTCCTGGACTGAACACGGCAAGACCACACGGCTGAAAGAGAGAAAGGAAACAGGATCTCGGTTACACGTTCCAGAATCTCAGAGCACACGACTCTAGGCTTACAAAGTCCAGTGACACCACACGGGTCTGTGACCACCGAAAACTGAGTCCTTTACCACAGAAGGGGTTTTTCAGTGGCACCAGCCCTGGGAGCTGCTAGTGCTCCACCCTGGGCAGCCCAAGCACCATCGCTGGACTACATGCAGTGTCCTCCTCCCACCCAGGACCCCGCAGGCCTGGTGTCTGGGGAGCAGGGAGCAAGCAAGAAGCGCGGGGCCAGGATGTGAGCTGCAGGCTGGTCGGGCAGCCCTCAGGAAACCCGCAGCCCGGCGCCTGGTTTTTAGGATACTTCTCAGAGAGTTTCTACCTTGTTTGAGTCTTATTGATGAATGGATCCAAAAACTCCTTCCCTTGCTACCCAATTATTCCTCGTGTTTAATAAGATTTAATAGAAGTGGTCCTTTGGGAATCCCTAAGAAAAACACTTCACCAAGCCAATGACCTTGAGCCTTGTGCCTCCTACCAAGCAGACACATGGCTTGGAAGAGTCTGACCTGCCCAAGACGGCTCATGGACAGACCATAGGAAAGCAATACGGCTCCAGTTCACCTGTCGCAGTCCTGGAAAGGGAATCCCACAACAGCATCAGAGTGTTCTATCAGGACTTCACCCCTAGATTTTCAACTCTAATACAAGTGCAAGGAAGAGCTCAATTATCATTTAATACAAAATTCCCAACAGGTTTATCATTCCCATTTGTTTCTCTTCAGCTACACTTTCTCTTAGGTCTTTTCCCTGTCCCTAACAGTGACATTTTCAACCTACACAGCATTGGTCTTAGCTATTCTTCAGACATGTAACAGGGTAATATCACTCGGAACATTGATGATGAGTTAGCAATGCCACAGCACTTTCTACTGCTCTCTCCCTATTCCCCCCAAACACGACAGAAAGATCCCCAAAAAGTCCCAGGCCTGCCTCCCCTTGCCTCCGTTCCTGGACTGTGCCGGCTCACTCGTCACTGTCTGAGAATGGTGATCTGGAACCACCACCCTCAAAGCTACAGCGACTCTCGTGAGGAAACCCTCGGTGCGTTTTTCCCAACCATCTTGGCAGTCCCCTGGGGAACACACCAACCAGCTCACAGTACCCTGGCAAGCAGAAGATACAGAGCGCAAATGGGACCTTGCTCTAAATCCTGGAGTGCCAAGAGCTGAGTGCCACCTGGGAACGGTTACAAACACTGAGATGTCCCCAACTCACTCCAGAAGATCCCCCACTTAACTTAAAGTAACCGGTTAAATGAGACCGTCTGCGGACTGTTGGTGTCACTTCAAGATTCACTTAGGCACCAGTGGAAAGGGGGGCAGGTTTGGATATTTCCACTCTTATTAAAAAAAAAAAAAAAGCACCATTTCATTTTTACAAGAGTTTGAAAATCCTTATGAAGGTTATTTGTGAAATACAGCCGGCACCGAACCAACCCTTTCCAGCCAGGGCTTTATCCTAAGGGCAACTTGGCCTTCTGTCGGATAGTTACCTGACAGGGAATGCCAGCCCCTCAAGTCTTCCCTAACCCTTTAACTCATACCAGAAGCAGGTGGACACATTCCTCCACCAGCTTCCTTCAGGTAAGAATGATCGGTTGGTTGCTGATGATTAAGAGTGGGAACCTTCCGAAAGTCTAGGAGGACAACAATCTCGGCGAGAACCCTCCCAAGCCAGCCCACTGAGAACCTGAGCGAAAACGTCCCACTCCAGGCACATCTGAACATTCCTCCCTTTGGCGTGTGAGACTCTTCCAGAAGAAAAGGTTTGCAAAGAGCAGAAAGCGCTCAAACTCCGGATAGCTGCTGCTTTTCCTGTTAGTCTAATGCGACTGTCAGAGGGCTGGCCCAAGGAGGAAGCAACTGACAAAAGTCACTAAATATATCTGACCCACAATCACTTCTGCAACTCAATTGCTAAGAAACTTGGGCCATGTTAATTTCCTAGTTTGTCAGGATTGGCCACCTACCTACAACAGCAGGCAGAATAGTGAAAACCACTTGTTCGATATGATGTACCAACCTCTGGGTGCACCCAAGGTCCTGAAATAAACTTTGGTAGCAACACTGCACTATACAGCAAAGTGCAAAAAACAAAACAAACAAACAAACAAAAAAAAAAGGAGCATCTTCTCTAAGAATCTCTTTCACTGACCAAAGTTCTAATCTTTCCCCGACCCCCTACCAATTTAGCAGTTACTGGGCCCTTAGGTGTCAGGGCCTGTTCTCACAGCTGGGGAAAGCCAAGTGAAAAATGCAGACTAACCCACTGGGGCTACACAGACATTCCCTGAGAGGCGGAGAAGCCAACCCACACCTGCAGGAGGTGAGGTGGTTGGCTGGGGTAAGTCCTAGTGCTTGAGGCAGAGGAGCAAAAGCAGAGGGGTATGTGGGCCAGGAAGAGAACTTCGCGGGGTAATGGACAGGGGGCAGCAACAAGGTCCAGGAGTTGGCCTAGGCATAGGAACGGGTAAGTCCAAGACAGCAGAACAGAAAAAAAAAAAAAAAAAAACACGGGATGCACCCCGAAAGCCGGATGACGGATCAGACGGGGAGGTGCGCGGTGGGGGGAGCTGTAAGCACAGAAGGGACGCGAGACTTTTTAAAAGTTTCCGAATCAACACTAAACAACCCGAGGATGGGAAACAGCTCCAAGAAGAATCAAAAACACAACATAAAGAACAGGCCATTCTCGGAACCCCCCAAGTCGCCCAAGGATGTCGACCATACTGAAGCAGGTGTGTGGGGGAGGAGGGACAGCTCAACACATCACCTGCCAGAAGGGCCCGGACAGGTCACACACCTGCAAACCCCCTCTCCCGTGCCACAGACCACGTGCTCAACATCCAGGAGGAGGGCGTGGGGCGCGGGGTGTCACCTCATCCTTAAAGAGGTGGACCCGGAAGCCTTCTGGGCAAATGGGGTGGATGCTGTCAAGTCCACCGAGCTGCCCAGTGGAAAGGGGGTGCCAGCTCCCCGCCGGCCACCAGCCTGCCAGGCTCCACCCCACAAGCCAAATCACAGCCAGAGCTCCTCGGATCTCGACTCCTCAGCCCCATCCCACCCAACCCAACGTTAGCTTCAGGGAAGATGCACCTGACACCCAGGACCGGGGGTGCAGGGCACGATCGGGGTGCGGAAGGCGGGTCCCGAAGGAAACTCCCGACCGCGCCTTCCCCCTCCTCCACCAGCCACGCGCTCGGCCCCGGCCCGGGGCCGGGAGGCCGAGGGCGAGCGTGCGGATCCGGCCGAGGCCTTGGGAGAATTCCCGGGGTGCGTCAAGAAGGGGATCCCCCAAAGCTGGGCCGACGGGGGGTCGCGTCCCGGCGGGGAGGGGGAGGGGACGAACGCAGGGAGCGGCCGCCGGCCGGGCTCTCGTTCCATCGGAACCATCTCCCACGGCCGCCCACCCTCGGATCCCCGCTCGCGCCCACCAACCCACTCACAATTCCTTAATGAGCACCATCTTCCCGGAACCCCCCCCCAACAGCTGCCGCCGCCGCCGCCGCCGCCGCCGCTGCTGCTACTGCCGCCGCCGCCGCCGCCGCCGCTACCGCCTCTCACTGCGCCTGCGCCGTCCCACCCCCCCGCCCTCGAGCCACCGGCGCGCCTGCGCGTCGGCACGCTTCCGCCGCCAGCCGTCGCGTCAGCTCACCAAGAGGGCCTAGCTCCGCCCTCTTCCGCGCCCCACCCCGGGCTGCGCGAGGCCTGTTTTGCGGCTGCGCGGCCCGCGGAGCGGCGCTCCAAGACCTCTTCTGCGGCTGCGCGGCCCGTGGAACGGTGCGCCAAGATCTCTTCTGCGGCTGCGCAGCCCGGGGAGCGGCGCTCCAAGGCCTCTTGTGCGACTGCGCGGTCCGGGGAGCGGTGTTCCAAGACCTCTTCTGCGGCTGTGCGGCACGGGGAGGGAGCGGTCACCACGGCGTCTCCTGCGGCTGCGCGCTCTCGGGGCGTGCACGCCCGTCGGCTGGCCGGCTCCCTCGGGGCGTCCGTGCAGCCTACGCTTTCCGGTGAGTGTTCCACGCCGTTCTCTGGAAGGCGTTGGACAGCAAGCGGCCCGGACCCGAGTCTGGGCCTGTTGTGAGAGAGCGCTCGCCTTCTTGACTGACACATTAGAAGTTTCTAGAGGGGTTGGAGGGGATTCCGTGACCTCTCGCTCACCCTCACCCCTCAAGAGCTCGGTGTAAACCGCCCCCCCCCAGCGTTGGACAAAGGTTGTTCTGTAGCGCGGGACGACAGGGAGGACGGTGGCTGGTTCCAGAAGTTTCCCACCTCACCTTGTGGGGGAGGGGCGCACAGGAGACCCCCGTGGGGCAAGAGGAGGCGCTTTGAACCTGAGTTGTATGGGAGGTTGTTGAGGCACGCCCTAACCGGGAAAGAGGGACATGAGGGGCTGACTGGGTTCTGGCCTGTGGCAAGTGGAGTGGCTAAAGCCACCGTTCCTGACCCTTGGAATCATCTAGAAACAAAATGGACGCGGTCGTGTCCTCCCGAGGAGGAGAGAACTCCCTTGGAAGTGATTTGGGAAAAGTGAAAAAGTGCTGGCTAGGCAGGAGAGGCAAAGGGCAGAGCCATCTTGGGCGAGGTTGAGCCTAGGAACCCCCCAATTGTGGAGACTTCTGCTGGGAAGTAGTAGTGCCTGGGCTGGAGCAGGTGTAGGGTATTTCAGGAGCAGCCAGAGGCCGAGGGTGGCTCCCACATCTCAAAAGGAGTCCCCAGAAAACTTCATGAAGAGATGCGTTATGAAAAAGTGTGCGTGGATTCCAACGGCAGTTAGTTCCCTTTCTGCCGAAGCACTATTTTCTCAGGTCTTCTCAGCTGGGGCCAATTAGATCACTAGGCCCTGGCTCTGAATTTATATCCTAAGAACGACACGTGGAAAGCTGTTACTAATTAAACTAAAACTATTAAGCCATGTAGAAAACTGCAGCATATACTAGACTAGAATGTAATAAAAGTTAACGGCAGGCCCAGTAGTGGCTAAAGTCCTTGCCTTGCAGGCGCTGGGATCCCTCATGGGTGCCAGTTCTAATCCCAGCAGCCTCGCCCCCCATCCAGCTCCCTGCTTGTGACTTGAGAAGGCAGTCGAGGACGGCCCAAAGCTTTGGGATCCTGCACCCGTGTGGGAGACCCTCCTGGAGTAAACTCCTGGCTTCAGATTGTCAGCTCCGGCCATTGCAGCCACTTTGCGAGTGAACCAAAGACGAAAGGTCTTCCTCTCTGTCTCTCCTCCTGTCTGTATATCTCACTTTCCAATAAAATAAATCTTAAAGAGGGTAGCCTCAAAATTAATTGGGGGGTGGCCTTAAGTGTAACAGGTTCTCCCACCTGAGTGGCTGGGCCCAATGATTTGGACCATTTTCTGGAGCCTTCCCAGGCACGGAGGCAGGGAGCTGAGCCGGAAGTGGAGTAGCTGGGGCTCCGGCCTTGGCTCTTGAGGGATGGGAGAGTACAGGCAGTTGCTGAACTTGCTGTGCTGCCATAATGTTGGCCCCTGGCTCTCCCACTTCTGATGAATTTTCTGTCACCTGTGATAGATACTAGGGTCACTCACCCAGGTGAGAGACTCAGGTGGAGTTGTGGGTTCTCAGCTTTGCTGCAGCTGTTGTGGGTGAAGGAGTGGGGGTAGGAGAGGGCCGCGCAGGGGAGGTTCACAGACCTCTGTCCCTGTATGCTTTTCAGATAGAACAACAGAGGTGAACTAGTTGCCAAAAGGCTGGAGTCTCTCCCCCTGAGTCGTGGAGTTTTTTACTGTGACAATTCGTGAACTCGTTATTATGAATGCAGGGATTCAAGGAGATAATGTGCCCTTTCGGGTGCTTAGAAGCTGGGAATCCATTCCATTTGTTGGATATCTGGGTTTAAAAAAATTTCTTTTTAAGGATTTACTTTATTTTTATTGCAAAGTCAGATATACAGAGAGGTGGAGAGTCAGGAAGATCTTCCATCCGATGATTCACTCCCCAAGTGAGCGCAGTGGTCAGCCAGAGCTGAGCTGATCGATCCAAAGGCAGGAGCCGGGAGCCACCTCCAGGTCTCCCACACAGGTGCAGAGTCCCAAGGCTCCGGGCTGTCTTCCAGTGCTTTCCCAGGCCACAAGCAGAGAGCTGGATGGGAAGTGGAACCGCTGGGATTAGAACCAGCGCCCATGTAGGATCCTGGTGCATGCAAGGCGATCCTGGTGCACTTTAGTCGCTAGGCTACCATGCCGGGACTTTTATTTTTTAAAAAGGTTGTTTTGAAAGAGAGGGAGACCTTTTCCACACACTCCCGACTCCCACAATAACTACAAGAAGCAGAGCTGGTCCAGCTCAGAGCCAGACACCCAGAAGTCCATCTGGGTCTTGCATGTGGGTGGCAGGGACCCGGGCCCTTAAGCCATCTCCTGCCTCCCAGGTGGGTTAGCAGAGAGCGGAATCAGAAGCGTGGAGTAGTGGGCTCAGTCGCTGGGACGGCAGCCTGTGGCCCCTAGCGGAGTGCCAGTTCAATTCTTGGGTGCTCTGTGAATAGACGTGATAGAGACGCTCTGTGTCAGTTCACACTCAGCATCATGGCGGGTGGCTGTTACAGCGTGTTTTAAAGGGGAATGTAAAGATTGAGAACCTGTTGAATTCCTTCACAACGCTTGCTCAAGCTTGGGTGTTCCTGGAGATGGGCCTCAAAACCAATGCTGTCACTACACTGTAATCCTTTCTAAATAAAAGTGAGGCATGCAGACAGCTGTTGTAGGTAAATGAAGAGTATTGCCAGAATCTAAAGATTGGAGTGCCACACCCTTGTGTCAAATGATTCCCTTATCATCCAAGGAGACTGATCAGATTTATACTAATCATTTTATGTTCTTGTATGAGTTCCAAAAGTCTCTTAGTTGCGTCTTTGGTTCCCCTATATAGAGAATCATGTTATTTGCAAGTAGGAATAGCTTGACTTCCTCCTTTGCGATTTGCAATCCTTTGATTTCTTTCTGTTGCCTACTAGCTCTGGCTAAAGCCTCCAGGACTATGTAATATAGAAGTGATGAGCATGGACATCCTTGTAAGCCTCCAACTTCCCCTGTTCAATCTGGTGCTAGGTATGGGGTTTTCTTGTATTACCTTGAGTGGGTTGAGGAATGCATATCCAATTAAGGTTTTTAGATTGAAAGGCGGTTGTATTTTATCAAATGTTTTCTCTGTGGCTGTTGAGCTAATCACATGGTTTTTGTTCATTGATTTTGTGATATATCATGTTTATTTACTTGTGTGTGTGTGTTAAAACATGCCTAGAAGGAGTTTGCCTTCTAGAACAAGACTGCCTCCCTTTCTATTGTTCTGAATAAATAGTGAAGAATTGGAATTAGTTCTTGAAAGGTTTGGTAGCATTTGTGGGTGGAGCCTTGCAGTTCTTATTACTGATTGAATCTCTGCCCTAGTTCCGGTTTATTTAGATTTTTGATGTTCATTATTCAGTTTCAGTGGATTGCATGTATCCAGAAATCCATCCATTTCTTCTAGATGTTCTGGTTTATTGACATATAGCTATTGGTAGTAATTCCTGGTGACTCTTTAAATGTCTCTGGGGGAAAGATGCAAAATGTTTTATTTCCCTTTCACCTCTGATTTTACTGATTTGGGTCTTTGTTGTTGGTTGGTTAATGACATATTAAGTACTTCTGCTAATTTGGGGTTTTGTTTGCTACTGTTTTTCTAGATCCTTTGGATACGCTGACAGATCGTCCTTTGAAATGAGTCCTAATGCTGTGAACTTTCCTTTGGCACTGCTTTTCCTGTATCTCATATGGTTTGATATGTTGTCCTGTCATCTTCATTCATTTCCAGGAATTTTTCTTTTATTTCTCTTTGGAATTCTTCTGTAATACACTGTTCATTCAGTAGTTTATTGTTCAGTCTCCATATTTTCCAGGATTTCTTGGAGTGATTGTTTTCAGCTTCAATTCCCTAGTGGTTAGATATATGGGGACCCAATGCAATAGTCTAATGGCCAAAATCCTTACATTGCATCCTCCGGGATCTGTTATGGGTGCTAGTTTTTGTCCCAGCTGCCCCAATTCCTACCCATGCTCCCTGCCTGTGGCCTGGAAAAGCAGTCAAGGACGACCCAAAGCTTTGGGACCCTGCACCCACATGGGAGACCCTGAAGAAACTATTGGCTCCTACGTTCGGATCAGCTCAGCTCTGGCCATTGTGGCCACATGGGAAGTGAACCATTGGATGGACGATCTGTATCTCCTCTCTGTAAATGTGACTTTCTAATAAAAATAATTTTTTTTTTTTGATAAAGAAAAGATACATGGTATGCTTTCAATTTTTCTACAGTTTCTGAGGCTTGCTTTATGGCTATCATAAGACCTCTCCTAGAGAATGGTCAATGGACACATGAAAAAAATGTGCGTTCTGCATCTGTGGGAGGAAGTGATGTGCAGCTCTTAGGTCCATTTGGTCCATGGTGTAGATGAGCGTGCTGTTGCTTTGAGTTTCTATCCAGTTGATCTCTACATTGATTACAGCAGAATGTTTAAGAGTCCCAATATTATTAAATTGGTATAAG